GTAGGTAGAGTCGCAGACTGCCTCGTACTGCTCCCCCAGCTCCGGCTCTGGCGCCTGCACGGGAAGAGGGGCAAACCAGTCAGCCACTGCCTGCAGGCAGCCCTTTCCCTTCCCCTCCTGCTCCTCTCCCTGCTGCCACTCCTGCGTGGTCCTGCTTACGGCAGATGAGACTGGGAGATGCAGCGGTCAGTGTGGGTGGGGTGCAGGATGCCTGGGCTCTCTGCTGAGAGAGAGGGAAGAGGGGACCCTCCCTGGAGGTGAGAGGGTCCCTTCTTGTGGAGTAGGAGAGACTTACCACCACAGTGCCTGTGAAACACCCCTCAGTCTCTGATGGAGAGGCTGAGAGCACATGAGGCTAAAATCCTTGTCCAGCCTCTGACGGGTCCCCCTGCCCCACCAATGCAGCTGGGAGACCCCAGCCTCAGCCGCGAGACCCTGCCAGGGCAGGTGTGCTCCTCAATGTGGGGTGATGGCCTGGCCTACAGCAGGGTGCAGCGTGGAGAGAGAAGGTGGGGAGGTGTGGGCTGGGGGGACAGCCTCCACGCTTGACCAGGGACAGGCTGCCTGGTTCTGAGTGGCACCGTTGGGAACCCATCCTAGCTCCATCTGCGTTGGGGGACCAGGAGAGGGCTCGGTGGCAGGCTGCAGTGAGGGGTGAGCCGAGCAGGGGCAGCTTTGCTCCCTGCTTCTCCTGATGCCCCCACCTCCCTCCCACCCATGCCCGTGGCCCTGCCCTACTCTCCAGTAACAGTGGCTGGTCAAACTTGGACTCAGGAGAGGCTCACCTGGGTTAAAGCAGAGCCAGCCTAAAGCTGAGCATTCTGAAATACAGATGAAAGATGCTGAGATTGGCTGTGTTGCCCACTTCCATCTCCTGAACCTTTCTTTGGCCTCAAGGACAGTATTTCTGCCCAGCATTGGCATCTGAGCTCCACAAGGTTTGGCTCAAAAAGTTTGTCAGATTTCCCTCTAAAAGTGATGGTCCCTAACCCCCTGCCAGGGCTGGGGAACCAAGCTCTACAGCTGCCCCACAGTGCCCAGGTCAGGAGTGCTGCCTCCTCCTTCTCCTTTTCCTCCTCCTGCTGCCACTTGCCCCGGCCATGTGCTGACCCCACAGCCTGCCTTGCACACTGCCATGGGTGTCCCGAGAAAGCTCTGTGAGGAAGGAAGAGGGAAACACCAGTGGGACGGTACCTGCTCTCCATGGGTAAATATCTGAGGGATAAGTGAGGGGGGTCCAAAGATCTGGAAGAAAGAGTTGGAGAAGGTTAAAGGCCAAGAACTGGGGAGCCCCTCACATAGACAACCATTGCACAGGGTCTGAGGACGAGGGGAGCGGACGGCCTGTCCCCTGGGGCCACTGCTGCTGACACTTCAGTACAAACTTCAGAGCTCATAAGATTCCAAGCAAGATGCCGCACAGGCCCTCAGACAGCGGCACAAACACGGCATGGCAAAGCTCCACAGAACGCCTCCCAGACGGAGAGAAGCTGCTGATGCATTCAGCCTGTTGTATGCACCATATATTGATATATATACACAGGGTACACTCGGAACACACAATGCTGGGACACGCCCTGGCACACATGGGTTGCCTGTGGCTGCTGGACAAGGGCTGGCGGGGCTTCCAGTTGTCACCTCTGCGAAGCCCCCAGCATTGGCCAGCACCTCACAACGTGGCCGGGAGGAGCAATGGGCCTCTGCAGCTCGCAGAGCCGGGGTGGATGGGCAGTCTGAGTGCTCCACATCGGGGAAACTGACTGGGGGTCATGGGTTCCCTGATGGGGTCGGACTGGCCACCTCCCTGCTATCGCTCCTGTCCCTCCACCAGGAAGAAGCCACACAGAAGCGATACTGCCTTCTCTCCATTGCAAAGCCATGGCACACACTCGGCATAAGGACAGACGCCCAACAGACACTATGCTGCCTGTGGGGAGGAATGCCTTCTCCTCCTCTCCATCCCTGATCTGCAGAGCGTGAGCTGCCCAAGACAACCCATCTTGGGAAGAATCCGGGTTCAAAATGTACCCAAGGGAAGAGGCTTGACTCTGGGCGCTGGGGCTGGCCCTTCTACATAGGACACAGCGCAAAGTCTGGATAAGCAGTCTTGGGGGTCACCAGCTGGCTCTCTCTGGCCACTGGTCCCCTTGGTGTGACAGGTAGATGCTGACATGCACACCCAGTGAACCCTGGACTTAAAAAGGTTTGCAAGGTGGACGTCAGTTGGGACAACACCAAGCAGAGTGGAACTTGTCTTTCAGAGCTGGGGATGCTCCTGTGTGAGAGGACACTAGGGTCTTGCTGGACGGTGTTGGAGGTCACACAAAAGCGAGGGCAGGGGAGGAACTGCCTCTGACACTGGATGGAAGGGCAGGTCAGACCTGCCAGAGGATGAGACCAGCACACACTGGTGGCTGTACCAGCTCCACCCTGGATCAACAGATACACAGTTTGTGGGAGGCCTCTAAATCCCAGTCCAGCTGCCACTGAACTCTCTGATTTGGAGGAAAGCGCGCAGAATGCATGTGATGACAGCAGCCCCATGCTTGAGCGGGTGATGTGGCAGTCGGCGTGCTCCCAGAGTCACAGTGCTACCAGTCTGGGTCTGGGGCATTTGCCTGGGCAGCTCCTGGCACATTGTGGGCTGCTCAGACTGTCCAGCTCCAAGGCCCTGCTGATGTCTTCATGGGGGTGCTGCACTCAGCTGCTAAATGCCAGCTTTAGACAGGGAGAGACTACAGGTTCAGCCCACCCATTGTCTTCATGCAGAGACCTGGCTTCAGACACGGATTTACACGCACAGGACAAGAATGCGACGGTCCTGACCCCCTCTCTGTGCAGTGAGACACCCAGCACATTGCTGTTGATGTACAAGGAACGAGACTGACCACAAGGAACACGTATGCTCGCGAGCAATGCCCTGTGCCCTTCCCCAAAGCTCTCCACTGAGGGCTCCAGCCGCTCCATGACAGCAGGAGAAACCAGCCATGCGGCCGGAGAGACTGAGCTGGGCCGGCGAAGGGCTCAGAGCCCCACACGCTTGGAGGGGAACGCTGGCACACACGCTCATCCTCCTCCATGCGCTGGTTCATGATACCCATCCTGCTGCTTTAACCCTTGCCTCGCGCTGCTGCCCTTGATCATCGTGCACGGACAGAGCAGAGCAGCACAGAAGGGGCACGTGTGTGCACGTGTTCCCATGCAGACATGTGTGAACAGAGATGGGACAGGACAGAGGCCCAGGGTGACAGTAAAATGGCTGGCCGAAGCTTGTCAAGCCATTGCTACCCTGGGGACCTCCACCTGCATACTGAAAGGATGGGTCCCCAAACCGGGGCTGAGATAAGCACACAGGACCTCTGCAAAGGCCTGGATTGGATTATTTCCTGGCCCATGAGGCAGCTGGTTTATAGCCACCCAAGCCCCGAGCTGCTCCAGAGTAATCTCAAGGGGAGGCATAGTGTGGGACAGGGAGTTAAACCCAGTTTGCACCGACTGCACTGCAGAGGCCGGGGTCAGGGCATGAGCCCATCCTGTGGCAAGGGGTTTGCCACCCACCATCAGCGCCTCATTGGCGTCCTTGGCTTTGCCCTTCCCCGGGGATCAGGCATATTCAAGGGAGACATCCCCAGCTAGCTGGCAGGACAGTCTCCCAAATTACGGGCACCTTGTTCCTGGATCCAGTCTGCTGCATGAGGCACAAAGTCCTCGGAGCTAAGCAGGGTTACTGTCCCTGGTGACCCACTGCAGGGTCCCAGACTGGATGCCACCTTTTGCACAGGTGAGGCTGGCCTGGGCTCTGGGTGTGAGGAGTGAGCAGCCTTGCACGTGGCTTCTGGATGGTGACACAGTGTCCTCAGAGTTGCTCTGAGCTTCACCCATCGCTGCGAAGCATCGCTCTGGGCTGCCATACCAATGGCCATGGCAGAGTGACTTCAGCTGCACCAGCAGTGCTGAGAGGAGGCAAAGCTAGAGGAAGGGGGGTCTAGTATGAGTCAGAATTAAGGACCTGGCCTTGATACTTTGGCAAAGCTGCCGGGGAATTGTGTGCGTGCACTTTCTGGAACGCAGCCAGTGACTTATTTTGAAGGGGGAAAAAGATGTTCCTCTTTCCCCTCAGCTGGCCTCCTTTCTCACTGGGGTGTGCTGGTGCAGCGGGGCTCAGCGCTTCAGCATCTCACCTGGGTGATGCAACTGGACTCGTTGATGCTGTCAGAGATCTGGTTGTATTCTTCCTCCCAGGTTGGGAACTTCGGAGGTAGGAGGATCTCGACAGAGTCCAGGCGGTCCAGGCTCCTGCGAGCAGAGAGAGAGGGGGTGAGGGGTGTCCCCACAGCAGGGGCAGTGCTGGGGCTGTGCTGGAGCTGCCGCGCTGCCAGGAGAGCCAGACCACCCCTGCCCGTGGCACCTTTTGCAAGGCACAGGCACACGTGGCAGGATGGAGATGATGTTGGGCACCAGCTCCACTGCTCGGCCCCTGGAATAGAAGGAAGCACCTTCTCACCTTGCCAGCCCCTGGCTTGAGCTATCGAGTCTTGTACACGGGTGAAGGTTTGTCGGATGCAGGGGAAGGAGAGGGGACAAGACCTCAGCTCCTGCTGCCCCCAGGAATGTACTGCCGATGCCAGGTTAGTCCAGCTGAACCCCAGGGAGCACATGGGATCTGTGCCAGCCCCCAGAGTCACAGCCCTGGTGACAGACCAGCTCTTGCACAGGCTGCTGCTGGGGTCGGGGGGTCAGGGAAGCAAGCTCTTCCCTGCCTGGACTGGTGGGAATGAGGTGTGAGAGGTGGGCTGACAAATGACTTTTAAATGGTATTTTGTGGACTTTGCAACTGGAAACATCCACAGGATTTTTTATTTTTTTGTTTGTGTTGAGGAACCCAAAAGATTATGTGGAAGAAGTTCAAGGGGACCCAAGCCTGAGTGACAGTGCTGCAGGAGCAGGGTGGGTCCGTATTTCCAGAGCAGCTTTTGCTGCAGGCTCTGGGAGAAGCACTGTCCCCATGCCCCAGGGCTCAGCAGCAGCCCCTGCAGCAGGAGAAGAGCAAGTCTGTCACTGAGCCCGACCCAGCCAAGACCATAGCTGCTGTCTCTGCTGAGAGCCAGGGGTCAGGAGGGATGTGGAAGGATGGGGGGGGTGCGGGAGGAAGATGAGTGGTGTGGGAAGGATGGGGCTTCCCCATTCTTCTGTTCCACCATGAGACCCTACATGAAGGGGTCCTTGTCATAGATCAGGTGGGGACACCTGGTAGCAGACACGGTTAGCCATGCCAACCGGGGCAAGCTGTGGGGACTCTCCCTCTTGAATTGCCCATGGCCCCTACAGAGGACCCTTGTGGTGCTGCTTCCACGGCGTCTGGCAGGCCCATGGGTGCAGAGGTCTGTCCTTCACCAGCCCAGGGGACAGTGAAGCTGTGGGCAGGGTACCTCAGAGCTGGGCGGCAGCCCTGTGCAGCGTGTGGACCTCCAGGAAGGACCGTGGCACCTCCTGAGTCCTCATCCTGGCGCATGATGAGAGCAGGGAGTAGTCTGTTCTGCCAAGGGTGATGGAGGAGACACCCAGGGCACCCACTGATGAGTGGCCAAGGGCAACATGGTGCCCCAAGTCCTGGGCTATCCATTTATTGCCTTGATTTCCCTCGGCCTGAGAGGGTTTTGTCTGTGATCACAGCTCACCATGCACCCATGGTGTGAGTCAGTTGTGTGCTGGGGCAGGCGGTGTCCCTTCCAGCCTTCCTGTGCCCACCCCATTGGACTATTCTCACAGCCTGCCCATGGGGAAACCGAGTCACAAAGCAGATTTGGAAGGGCAGAGACCCTCTCAGAGGGACAGGTGGTATCTCACACCTCTGTGCCTTGCCCCAGCTAAGGCTGCAGCTGTCCACCCTGCAGGCCCTCCTGTCCCAAACCACAGGTCCGGTGTCCCTCGGCTGGTGGAGCCCAGAGATGGCCCCAGCAGCTCTGACCAAAGAGACCAAGGATCTTGGCAAGAGCTGGCATGGGGCTGTGCCAGGACATGATGCCCCTGCTGCTGTCCCAAGGGTGCGCCAGGCTGGCCAGGCACCCCAGGGAGGCCCTACAACAACCAAAGCAGCCACAGCGTCCCAAAAGCTCCTTGGTGAGGGGGGGAAGAGGCAAGGGGGTGGTCAGCAGATGGCAGCCGTGCTTGTGCTCCGGTGCCGGCTTGGCTGGCGCTTGGCCTGTCCCGTGCCACCCACAAGCCCTGGCCAGCGCGGGGCGGCGGGGACGGGCAGGCCGGGATGTGATGTCCCTTGCTGGAGCGCAGCGGAGCCCTCTCTTTCCCAGGCAGGATCCTTCCCTCCAGCAAGTCTCCTGCGGGGGACCAAGCACTCGCAGCAATGGCCGCATCCAGCCCAGCCCTGCCCTCCTCTCCCACGTAGCTGCATCCACGGCTCAGCCAGCTCTGCCTCTTCTGCTCAAACACCCTGCCCTGACTTAGCCCCTTCCTCAAAGCTGCCTGTGCGTGGGCTCTGGCTGGACCCCAGCAGCACGGGTGAGGTCATGCCCTGATGGACATGACCTGAATGGACAATGAATCCAAGAGAGGAAGAACCTCAGTCTCTCGACTTGGGTATTTTGTATCAGAGACCCCTGGACCCAGCTCTGCTCCCCCTGAAGCGGATATGAAGGCAGGAAGCAGGGATGGATTCAGAGCAGGCATTTCCAGGGCTCCCACAGTTAATTTTGTCACCGTCTCTCAGCAGAAAGCAGCATCTGGTCTGCAATCTGAAGCCACCATGAGGGGTCTCCACACTGCCTGCTACACCCTCACTTCCTTCTGCCTCTGTTTGCTGAACATCAGCAGTTCATCTGCCATGGCTCCCGCCTTCTCCTGCATCTCTGTGCTGCTCAGGTGGAGCAGCAGATCCTCCCGAGCCGCAGCATCTGAAACACTGACAGTCTGGTATAGCCTCTGGGTGCCTTGTCCTGGGAAGCAGAGCAGCCAGTGAGGATACTGCATAGCATCACCCACGGTAAAGTGGTCCACACAGACCCCGTCCTGCAAGGACCAGCCTCCTGCCCAGCAAGCTTTTGCTGTGTTCCCGTTGCTCTGCTGCCTATCTGGCTCAAGCCACTCTGGGTCTTCCTCCCTCAGTACCTGGTCCCAGACCTCTTAGCTCATGTCTCCTGGCCTCAGCACATTACCCAGCCCAGTGTGCCAGTGGGACACTTTCTGCCTGGTCCCAGAGTCCCTGGGACACCTGTGGAGCAAAGCAGATGGCACAGTCCCAGCAGCCTGTGGGCTGCGTGCCACTTGTCCTCAGCCATGCTGGCTGAGCATCTTCCATGTCTAAATAGCATCATGGGGTTGGGATCTCTGCACTCCCTTGGAGGAGTAGATGCTTAGAGAGGAAATCCACATAGCTCCATCAAAGTGCCCTCCCCATCACTGGGGGGGGGACGACAGGGACCTGGAGCAGGCTCCTAACACCAGGGCTCTTTGGAGTCACCTGGATGGAAAGCTCTCTCCATTCCTCTGCTATCATTCTCCTCATCTGCCTGCCCTGTGGGCAGTCTGAGCTGGTGTGCAGAATCCCTGCTGGGCTCTGATCCCCACACAGGGTCTCCACGTGGGTGCTGCTGGCTGGACCCCAAGGACTGATTCTGCGGTGGCCCCTGTGGACCTGTGCAGAGCTCCCAGAGGAGCTCCAGTGTTACCTTTGTGTGGTGCTCTGCTCACTCAGGGACTGTTGGGTGGCCTTGAGGTAACTCTGCCTCCGAGCTGCAGTTTTCGGGGATGGTTTGGGGCTGGTTTCTGAGTCTTCACTGTCATCATCCCCCATGGCTTTGATGTAACTCCCGCTCCGCATGCGCCGGCACGGGATCTCACTGTCTTTGTCCCGAGACAGCGTGTTGTTCCACTCCCCCTGAGGCACCTGCAAGAGTAAGGGGCGCATAAACAGATGTGAGGGACGGCACCTTTGGGACCAGCAGGATCATGGGGATATGGGGGGATTGGTGGCAAGGACAACTCTTGAACCCTCTGCTGAAGCGTAGTAGGAATGGGCAACACAATTCCTTTCCAACCCTCCCTTACCAGTTCATGCCAGGCAGCCCTATGTTTGATTGCCTCTGTTTTAGCACATCTACCCACAGCCATTCGCCCCACCGCCACTGCAGACCACCTTCACACTGGACCATGCTTACACAGTTGATACAAGCTGCACAACGCCAGACATAACAGGATGGGAACAGTCTCACCAGATTTGTGCTGGGCATCGGGACAGGAGTGGCACATGGCTGTTCAACGCAAAGCCCACGCTCATTTAGTGTAAAGTGCACATACTGTTCAGGCCAAGGCAATCAAGAGCTCTTGTAGACCGGGGCCTATGGATCAGAGCCCAGACCTTCCATTAGGCCCAAGACCCTTTAAGGTTTCTGGGTTGAATGTGACTCTTAGTGGCTGAAATTAATTTCTGAAGCCAAGCCAGGCCTTCACAAGTCCCTCTAAAGCAGCTCGGGCACATAGACCTTGTGCTGGCCGCTCTGCACAGAGGCGAGTAGTACCTTGTGCAAGAAAAGCACTTCTAACTTCACTGAGATGACAACCCTGCAGTTAATTTAAGGCAGACATGATCTCTTGTTTCCTCATCACAGACGGGCAAGCTGGTTCCACTAGAGGCCTGAAGCACAGAGCAACTGAAGTAACCGACACCACTGCCTGCTTGTCCTGCGAAGGGTTTGTGTAGGTGAGTGTCTGCTCGGCCAGCAGCAGAGCCAGATGTCAGCCCAGGACTGATCAGGCCAAGAGCCACACATGGTGTGGGACAGGCCAGGAGAAAGATGGGGCAGTCTGTGTTGCCAGGAGCAAGCCTTGGTTTCGTGGCTAACTTGGTTTTTAGCTGACCTTTGACCTGCCCGTGAGCTGCGAAGATGTGGTCAAGGAGAAGCAAGGGAAGATGTGAGGAATGCAGCGATACACAAACCACGCTGACACCGGGGCAGCCCAAGGCCCCATCCGCTGTGGGAAGCAGGCTGGTTGGGGAACACCACGGGGAGCAGCGAAGGGTCTTGTGCTGAGTGCAGCTCATCCTGCTGAGAGCATCCACATTGCCTCTGCTGCATGGAGCAGTTGGATTTGCCCAGCTCCCCAGGGGGCTGTGGGATTAATCAGCCAGTGTTCATATGGTGCTTTGGGGATGCACAGAGCCGTGTGACAGCTAACTGTGGTGAGCCAGAGCCATTAAGCGCTGCGTGGATCCTCTTCCCCTCCTTGTTCACAGCAGGCATGTTCTGTGGGAACCAGAGCGGGCTTGAGGCTGCCGTCTGCTGCTGCTGGGGTGCAACATCTTCAGATGAGCTTCAGATCTGCAGGTAGTGGCTTCTGGTTCTTCTGAGAGGACCTGGGGTGTGCCAGAGGCAGGCTCAATCCACATACAGCAGCTTAGCTCACTCCGAGGGCTTTCTTCTGCCTAAAGGAGCCAGGGGTTCAGCTCATGTCCTGCTGGCCTGCTGCTTGCTGTGTGCATTGGGGGGAAGGCAAGGGGTGACCCCAGCGCTATGTGGAGCAGAACCCAAACAGCCTGTGGGACCACTTTGGTAATGGGGCTCCTACCATGATGTGCGCCCATGAGCCAGGACACATTACTGGGGGACATGGAGCAGAGAGCCAGGGGCATTGTGTTGCCTGTGTGCGAGATCCAGGGTGGGGACTGATGTGGAGTGAGTCTCACACGTGAGACTCAAGCCTGGCCAGGCCTCCCTGGCCCCGGTCACTGCTGCTGCAGCGTTTCCCAGCTCTTTCCACTCTGCCTCTTGCAAGCTTTGTGCTTGGCAATGGCTTCTGGGCTGGCTGCTTGCAAGGCTGCCCAGCTCAGGAGCTACTGAGTGTCATCCAGCAGGTTCCTACAAAAGTAAGAGCCCTTTGTCTCCTGGGTGTGTGTGCTCCCTCTGCCCCAGCCCAGCTGCCTGCACTGGGTGGCCCTGAGGCCAGCCAGGAGGGACCTGCTGGCTCTAGCTGAGTCCTGCCACCGGAGAGATCCCACAGGTCGCTGGAGTGGCTGGCTCTGACCTGTTCTAAAGGAGACAGGGGCCCTAAGAAGCCCTTTTATACCCATTACCTTGGCATCAGGTCTGACTTGAGCCTGCATTTTGCTGCCTGTCTTCTCCTCAGGATGAATCACAGCCTCCTGCCTGCAAGGGTCTTGGGCCACCAAGGGGCTGGGGCGAGGGGGCAGGCAGGGCTGGATCCTCTAACCCCTGGCTAAGGAGGTGAGAGCTTGCTAGCAGCCAGGCATGCCAAACAGGGGCCAGGGGACTACACAGCCACCCCATACACAGGGGCAAATGCTGTATTTTGTGGGGCAGTGAGAGGTGCTGGGCTCAGCCCAGTGAGCCCAAGGACAGAGGGGCCATTAGGACCTCAGGCTCCTGTGGCCACTTTGATTCTGCTGCTTGGGGGCAGGGTCTGTGGGTTGCTCAGCTCTGCCCGGGCTTGTGCATCTGCCTCCTGGCTTTGGGCACTCTCGGCAAAGCAAAACATAGACAGCGTTTTCAGTATGTCTGCACTGGTGCGGCTTGTCTACAGCAGCGTAAGCCAAGCATCCCACAGCACTGCCTGCCCCATGTGGACCCTGTCCCTCTCCACTAGCTTTCCCGTCACACTGCGACAGCCTGTTGGTCCTAACTGAGCTTCCTTATTTCTCCTTTCCCTTGCCTCTCCTCTACTTTGCACCTTGGCAAGGCAGCAAGAAACAAAACTGCTCTCAAGGTGCTCCACATTCCAGTTTAGCAGTGTCAAGGGGAAGGAAGATGCTTGGCAGGACAGCCTTTGAATCTGGTGCCCCAGTTTGGAACATGTCCTGCCTCTGCCTGCTCAGAGCCCACAGGGACTCCCACAGATCTTGCTCCCATGGGACAGAGAGCAGGACAAGTGTTTCAAAAGTGCCACACCTGAAAAGACAAGTAAGTGTCCTTGGGGATCTTCAAAAACAGTGCAGGTACTTGAGGTGCTGTTCAGGGTGCTTCTCTGCACCTTCAGGCACCTGAGGATGTGAGGATCCTGTCCCACAGTCTCTGAAGCTCTGCAATGGGAGTGAAGAGCCCAGAGCACCTCCTGTTGTCAAGGGACAGACCTCACGGTGGCCAGTGCAGAACCTCCATGGCAGCAGCTTTCCTGGCAGCTGAGACCCTGGGCTCTGAACACAGAAAGGATGAAGTGGAAATGAGGGCAGCCTCATGGTGCACCGAGGCCTGGCACAGAGAAGCTCAGGAGGCCCCTCACAGGCTGTGGCAGCCTTGCTGCTCTTCATGCTGCTCTCCCAGGTGTAGGCTTGGTTCTGCCCACGATGATTTGTTCGGTGTGAAAGGAGTGGGAGTTAAGAGGATGCCCAGGTCGAGAGCCTTTGTAGGTGGCTGCTGGCACAGAGGGCTTGGGGATCCACCCTGCCCAGTGGCTGCACAGGAGGGGAGGAGCGGACAGCAGATGCTCCGCCAGGCTTCAGGATGCAGATCCTCCTTTCTGCCCTTGGTCTGTGCAGTGCCCCGTGTTTGTTGCAGGCCTGTGGGATTCAGGCACACGCCCGTCCCCAGGAGCTGGGCTCCACTGACACCATCCTGCCACAATACCGCATGTTGCAAAGCAGCAGCACCTTCTGGCTCTTCTGCTGTCTGTGTCACGAGCTGAGTGTGGAGGGAAAAGGAAAGAAGGGGCCACACAGAGGTTTCCCCCTACCGTAATTCTGCCTGGGCCATTCTCCAGTCACCTGGAGCACTAACAGTGGGGAGCGAGAAGGGAAGGGGAAAACTCTAGTCCTGGGTGCTGGACAGGGGTGAAAGAGTTGCACTGCTCCCGTGGCTTTGGTGAGGTCTGGGGGTAGAGACTCGCAGAGCAAACACGGTTTCTATTTACACGTGTGCCAGTTCTGACATGCAGCCCAGCCCCGGCACACACCGACATGCACCACACACGAACGCACCCGCCGAGGCACCTGCGGGGCTGGACGCAGTGTGCAGGGATGCATGTGCCATGCAGCCAGGCTCCGATGCAGAGAGACTGAGCCCAACGCAGGTACGCCGCTGCTCCCTCCAGGACCAGATCCCTCGTGGTGTCCCGAGGGCTACGCGTGGTCTCAGGCATGTCCTCAAGGAAGAAAGCTGGAGCCCAGCCTGCCTACCGTCCCCATCTGTCCTTTTGGCAGGGCACCCTCTGGGAAGGACCTGGGCCATTTTTCTGCCCCATGGGATCTTTATGGGGCTGATGTGAGGGCAGCCAGCATCTGTGTAGTGGCTGGCACTGAATGGGCCACCCACTCTGGATTATGAATTTATGTTTTGGGCTGCTGGGGGTTAAGGAAGCTTCGGTGCGGCCTGACTGTAAGTGGGGTTGGGGGGGCTAATCTGGAGGATGCATCGGGCTGATGGCGCCTGTGGTATGACTCTGTCCCCCGGGAGCCCCGACACCAGCCATCCCTTCAATGTGGTCTTGGCATCCACGGACATAGGTCTGAGTCTGTGTCTGGTGCAGAAAGGCTGCTCAGTCCTGCCTGCTCCTGCTCACCCCCTGCCTGGGGCATCTCTCACTCCCAGGATCTTCTTGGCCATTGGGATCCTGACCCCTCAGCCTCCCTCCCTGGGGACTTTGCTGTAAGGACAGTGCTGTGTCGCCTTGGAGAAACCCCCCACCCTGACAGGACAGGGCTGGACCAGGAGCTGGGTGATCACCCACTCTCAGCTCCAATGTCTGGGTCTGGAAACAACACATGGACCCCAATAGTCCCCGGTGAGCCCCAAGACTACCCAGAGCCTGCGAATGGGGCAGGGGGGGTGAATAGCCTTGGGAGCTTACCTCAGCCTGGAGCCTGGGGGTTCCTGTTCATCCCCATCCCACTCCTCCTGCCCTCCCTCATGTCAGAAGGGCACTTCTCCCCCTCTGGGACCAACTGGGCATTTCTGCCTTGCAACAGCCCTGTCTGCAGCAGCGTGGGGCCTCCATGCTCCCCAAGCGCCAGGCTCTGCGGGCAGGCAGAAGTGCGCGGTCCCTCACCATGGCACAAGCAGGAAGGGGGCTCGTCCGGCTCCAGGGATGAGCAAGTGGCAAGGGGGCATGTTGCCTTGCAAAAGGACATTTCCCACATGCTGGGCTCCAGAGGTGACTTCTTCATCACGAGCTTAGTCCCCTTCCTGTCTGGATACAGTCGCCCCATCCTACCCTGAGAGCCCCGAGTCCTGTGCTCTGCCCTCTGGGGCTCACAGCTGGTGTCCGGGGGCAAGGCCAGCCCAAGCACGCGCGACCTGTCACCCTGCGGGGTCACTGAACATTGTGTTTTCTGGACGGGGTGTGCCTGGGGTCTTGGCTTTGCTGGTGAGATGCTGCTGGCCATGGGGACTGCCCCAGGTGCTCAGGATGCCAGTGACAGCCCAGCGTCCCCAAGTGCCCCTCCAGCCATGCCGACAGTGGCCGATGGATGCTCCCTACCCAGGCTGCTCCCGCTCCGAGTCTGGTGGCACAGGCTGCTGACCCTGTCTGATGGTCCCAGGAGGGTCAGGGCAGGGAGGGAGCTGGGCAAAAGCTTCCCCTCAAAACAAGATCCCTACCTGGCCGCTGCCTGCGTCGGTCGGCCCAGGGCTGAGGGGCTGGTCCCACCTCCGCGGGGGCTCACTCGGCTGCAGCAGGGCGGCACCCGTGTCCTCCCAGCCGAGCGGTGGCTCTGCCCAGCTGCTGGCTGGGCTCATGCCACCCAGCTGTGCCCACAGCCCTCCGTCAGGCTGTCGAGAAACGGAGGCTCATTACATGGGTGGGGAATAACGAGCAGGGCAGTCTTGTACCCCCAGCCATGGCTAAACCCCAGGACGTGAGGGGCTGCTGGGGTCACATTCGGCACCCGGGGCTGCCTGTGCTGGGCTCTGCTGCGGCACCCAGAGAGAGAACAGTGCCAGCAGATATTTTCTCTGCAGCTCTTTAACCTCCTAACGTTTAACTGAAAGGAGGGGGGCAAAGAAAAAGAAACCAGGCCAAGAACATTTTTTTCTGATGACGTTCCTGATGCAATAAGTCCCTCTGAAATTTGATTTGCAGCCATGGCCAGCAAGGTATTGGAAGCAGAGTGTGCTTCAATAATTCATTGCTCTTTAAAGCTTGTAAGCCCGCTGGCCACAGCCAGGGGAGCCCTTGACACCTTTGCATTAAAAAGGATGCTGGAGATTTACATACATAGACTAGTCCCCTCCTCCCCCCCATCCAGGCCTGGCTTATTTATCTTCATTCCTCTCTCTAGGGCACAACCAGGTTGATGTTCTTCAAGCGCTGCTTTTTGAAACTGTCACAGTGACCTGGTGATGGGGGTGGGGTGGGTGGTGTTCAAGCCAGCATTAGCCATGCAGGCTTCTGCCATGCAAGCGGGGCAGCTGGCACTGGCCC